TAAAGGGAAGGGCAGATAAGGATTCTTAAAAGCTAGTCTGTTTTCTTCTTCAGGGAAGTTTACCAGGTGGTAAACCTTAAACAAATGCAAGACTTTCTATCAGTTTTTAGTACCTCTCCCTTAAATAGGACAGTGATCAAGCACCACACACCATGTGAGGAAGGCCTAGACCAGGAACAGCGAACCTTCTACAGCTTTCCATGATATGAAGCGGGGAAAGGGGACACAACATACTACACAAGAATCAGATACAATACAGGCACTAAAGGAAACCTTTGGGGGAAAAAAAAAAAAAAATTATCATCAAGAAATTATACACAGTCCTCAAAAATCAAAAATAAAATGTTCTAAAATATAAACATTTAGAGCTCTCAATTACAAATACTCTAACAGAGACTCAACACAGCTGGGAATGTGGCACAGTGGTACAGCCCAAGCACTCACACATAGAAGGCCTGAGTTCAACCCTCAGCACAGCCCAAGACAAAAATAAAACTAAAAAATCAGTAAGTCTTTCTCTAAAAGAATAGGAGAAACTGGGGGGAGGAGGGCGAGTGGAAAATAAGTACAAATGTAGAATATTAAATACCCTGCTTAGGACTGGGCATGTACTTAGCATGACCAAGGCCCTAGGTTCAATGCCTAACACAAAAGAAAAAACAAATCACACCTCCATCAACAGTGATGTTATCTACTTTATCTAGAAAAGAAGTCAAATAATTTATCAGGCCAGCTAAGCACCTCCTTTGGCCAGCACAGGGACCAGGGTTCGATCCCTGCTGCCTCACAACACACTCACCCTGGCCCCAGCACACGCTGAGCAAGATCAGTCTGTGAGTGGGGGCATGCACCTGTAATCCCAGCACTGGGGAGATGGAAAACAGAAGGATCACAATGAGTCTGAACTGCTCCTGACACCCTGTACCAAATACGTAAATGAAATAATAATAATAATTTATTTTCAAATATACCATAACCAAAACTAAAATCTAGATGAAACCTACATGCTTATACTTTTCTTCTTAGGGTTGTTTTTTCTTTTAAATTGGGGAAACAGCAGATTAAAGTGCCTGCAAGCAGGCTCAGGGGCCCGAGGGTTTGATCCCCAGACCTGCTATGCTGGCCCCACCCGAGGCACACTGAGACAGAGACTGGGTGTGGTGGCATGTGCCTGTAATCCCAGCACTTGGGAGGCTGTAAACAGGAGAATCACTACAAGTCCAATCTAATACTGAGACCCTGAACACTCTGTAGACCCTTCCCTAAAATACAGAATAAAAAAATAAAATAAATTGGGGGAAGAACTTAGTATTTGGCAACAGATAGTCAAAGTATGACATGATCACATGCTGTTAGAAATTTGAAAAGCCTAAGCCTAATGAGTATGAGCTTAGCAATAAAAAGTCCAGTGTTCAGATTCTGGCTCGCTTATTTACTGATTTTGTTTTTGTCTTGGGCTATGCCGGGCACTGGCAGGCACTCTATGTATGTGTGCTTGCTGTACTGCATTCCCAGCTCTCTTGAAATTTTAGTTGTGGTTATCATTTTGAATCTTGGGGAAGCTATTTAAATTTTTCAAGCCTTAGATTTTTGATCTGTAAAATGAGAAACACTACCACCTACAGTCCTTGATTAGATGTTTTGAAAAAAGTGGGTGAAATACTACGTAATTGTATGGCATGGTGCCTTGACAACTACTAAAACTCAGCCCATGGAGTTGCTTCTACAGCAGTTACTACTACTGGTCATCATCCACTTGGCTAAAACTGCTCCATAACATTATGCAAGAAATATGTACATCAGGCTGCTTCTCACATGGCTTACAAGACAATATATTAAAATTAAATACTTGTGAGTCAAATTTTGAACATGCCAACCCTAGAAGAAAAAAAAGAAATACACAACCAAACTAGTCTCTAAAGAACAGAAATATGCCTATCTCTTTGCCTTGGTATGCTGAATTCCATAGCACTCTGTAGCTTATTTCAGCATTTTACTATTTATATTCTGGAACAGGATCTAATGCATTAAACTGAAACACCTCAGATAGTGGTGTCAGTCCTGCCATGGGTCTCCAAAGGATAAGACAAGCTACCTACACCATGCAAACAGCCACATTACTGTCACATCTTACGACCTATAGAAAGTTAGAAAATATAAACCATATTCAACAGTTCAGATTGTTTTAAATTTTTATTTTTTTTTTAAATTTGTGTGTGTGTGTGTGTGTGGCCAGCTCAGCCCTCCAGGGGGCGGGGCTGGCTGGCATGTGGTGCTGGGGGATTGAACCGCTGTCCCATTCTTTGCTAAGCTTGTTCTAAGTAGGTGCTTTAGACCACTGAGCCATCTCACCAGCCCTGTTTTAAATTTTATCCAAATCATTTTCACCAAACACCAGGAGAAAAGACTACCTTGTAATGTAACAGCTGTTAGCCTGAAACGGTTATACCTTCCTATCACTTTGGGCAAAGTATTAAAAACTATTTCTCAATTTTCTTCCCTGAATGACAAGACACAATTCATCATGATGTGTAAATGGACATGGCTAAAGAGCTGTGTGATCCAAAAAGAACTTTTAAAATTACACTACTTTGTTTGAAGAGCTCATCTTTAAAGTGACTCATTTTCAACTGACTCATTGTTTGTATCTCCGTTCCTTTAGAGTGATTAAACTTTAAACGTTGCTTCCTTACAAAGAGGAGGAAAATTCATCTGTCTCTGCTCAAGGTCAGATATAATTCAAAACCAGGGAGGGCAGAAGGAGTTAAAGCAGCACACAGGTCAGTTCAACTATGATGCTGGCCAGCTCCAGCTCCAGCTCCAGCTCCAGCTCCAGCAGCAGCAGCAAACTTAACAGCTCACCTAACACAAGCACCATCGCGCGGCAGACAAGCAAAGACCTTTACAGAGACCCAAGAGTTAGTTCCCATAATACACACAACAAAACATGATTCAGACGAATCTGTTTTCTTACATTTTAAGTATTTCTTTGGAAGTTTTGGTGGTTACTGATATTAATAAATCCTATAACCCCTTTTAGACATAAAGTAAGACAGCAAAACAATGGGGGCCAGGGAGATGGCCTGGAATATGCACTTCCCTGGAAACGGCAAGGCCCTGAGTTCAATCCCCAGTTCTGCCAAAAAAAAAAAAAAGCAAAACAATGGTGAAAGAAAATATTTACACAGGACTTGAAGCACGGCAAAGCTTTCTCAGCAAGTTGAGGAAAAACTTGTAACTTCCAAAGGAAGTGTAATGGGTTAACTCACATTTTAGGCATAAATCTTGTGCTTTCTGTTGTAAATGCATACCCACCCATTGTTTTAGATTGTTGAGTAAATAGTGGCTGTTACTGTAGTTTGCTAGATAAAAAATCCCTTTAAAACAAAGTTAGATTGCAGACAGGACTTTAAAAGGAAACTAAAAGAGTGTTAACTCCTTGTAACCTCCGGGCTATGCAAGGCTGCCTGCAGGTACTCAGGTGCAAATTAACCAAGAACTGAAACAAAAGCCTCAGGAAATCTAGCTTGAGTAGTGGTCACAATGATTCTAAAAGCATTATTGAGTACTGGTCACAATGATTCTAAAAGCATTAATCCGCATCAATAAATTTGTTTATCAAACTCAATGTGGTTTCAGAGTTTAAAACCCCTCCTTGCTTCCTGAGTAGGCCGCCTTTGGTTCTAGCCTGCGTGAGAGCAGATCGCGGGTCCTGAGCTCAATAATAAACGGCTTTCTAAATTCCAACCTGGCTGATCTGGTTCCTATTCTGAGCGACCCATAACAGGAAGTGTATCATTCTTCTCTAATGTTGGTTTTTTTTTGGGGGGGTGGGGGTAGCGGTACCAGGGATCAAACTCAGGACCTACGCAGGCGCTCATGCCGCGGAGCTGTAGCCCCGGCCCCTTTCTTCGCCAGTGTTGTACACATCTCATAAATTCACAACGCTTGAGATTATCTGAACGCCTAATGCCAGTGATGACTCCTCGTCGGCTCCTGGGACCTTTTCTTCAGCTTATTTCAACGAGCAACCGATCGCCTACCATACACTACTAACACCGTCTGCTAGGAAGACTCCTACAAAGCCCAGCTGGCTCTGGCCTCGACATCAGCAAGAATCAGAGTAAGAGATCACTGTCACAGTTTAAACACCAGACTCAAGAGAAGCGCGAACACCTGACCTGCTCAGAGGGCCTCTTCCCAAGCCCCAGGTTCAACCCCGCAGACACACCCAGTTAAACACTTGCTGGATTTCACCCGAGTCAGTCACCTCCTTCAGGGGTACTGCTGCCCTCAAAGGTCAGAGAAAACCAGTGCAACACGCCTCCCTCTTGCTTCTCCCTTTCCCAGTTCAGTGGAAGGCAGGAAACCAATGCTTCTCCACAAGCCGTCCAGCGGTGGCAGTGGAACAAGCCAATTTCTCGGAGTTGTCTGATAACACACCCAATTCTTTTCCTCTACCGACCTTGAAACACTGGAAATGTACTATTTACCCATCTAGGAAACACCCCTTCTATGTAAAACGCTCCAAGCCCGATATTTAAAAATAAAATTTAAAAAAATCTAGACAAAAATACAGATCTCTCGAGTTCTCAATCCCGTCGACTGACAAAAATCAAATGTTCTGAAAGACACAAAATCATATACAATCAGGTACCTAAAACAAAGACAGTCTGAGAACAGCGGCCAGGGGAAGCAAGGGCAGGCGCGGGCGGCCCGACCCGCCCGACCGCGGAGGACCGAGGCCGAGCGGAGGCGGACGCAGGGGCGGGCCGGGGCGGG